AAATTAAGAATGTAAACAGCTCTCATGGAGTAATTATTCTGTGCTTGAATAGGGAGAAAGTGATAAAAATAATGACAGGATGGAGCTCCTAGCGATGTCATACGGCTGTATCTTACAGCCTAACGAAGCCGTGTCCGCTCTGCTGGGTGGATGGGGGCAAGGGTTTCACAGGTGGCTAATTTGGGTTGTAGAGCAGAAGTTGCATGGGAGGAGAAGTCCCATTGCAAGAGGGCACTAAGAGCTCTTTGAAAAAGTCCTCTTGCTCATAGGAGGAATGGCATTTTTTGAAGTTTCATGGTGAAAACTGCAATTTGTTGTAATTCCACGATGCGCACAAATGTCCTCCAGAAACCCAGGTTCGCTGTCAGCAGAAATTCATGGGTACAGTGGTGTGAGAGTCCTCACCATTTGCTCCGCTTTTGCCCATCCCTAACTTCTAAATGGTTGCTTTAGTGAAGCCGTGGCTGCATGATCCCCATGTAATCCGTTGCTGCCATCTTTGACAGTGACTCAAGTAAAGCTGTTTCTAGCTGTACGCAAGGCTGTTTGCCCCTGTTGGTATCTTGCTGAACAAGTTTCTGTGGAAATTAAATAAATAAGATCTCCACCACTGGTGCTAATTGGTGCCTTTGGCAGCCTGAGCAGGGGCTTGTGAATTGAATGTGTCATGGAGAATTGAATGTGTCAACTCTCTCCCAATGGCTGGAACCTCGAGGTCTTTTTCTGGCACTAAATTTCCTTTAAAAAAAAGAGAGAGAGAGAAAAAACAAGCTGAAATAAGAGATCTTTTCCCTTTTTTTAATGAGGTGTTGAAGCTGAGCATTGTATACACACTGCAGCGTTTTCTCATCAGATGCTTTGAGAAGTAGGGCTGGTTTCTGCCTTTGTTTCGCAGGCACCCCGTTTGTTGCTATCAGGCGCTGTGCAGCACGGGGTGGCAGGTTTTATTCAGTCTGTTCAAGCATCTGGCAGGATAGCCATGAAGTTGTTGCCGATGTCCTTAAGGGACTGTAGGGATCTGCATGATTCATTCAGTATTTTTTTTTAGGTACAAAGAAGAGATATCTCATGCCGTAGTAAATATGATTCCAAGTAGAGCACAACCAGTGTACCAAAAGACAGGAGATTTGCTGCTTTGGAGGCACTGACTGGCAGCAGAAGCTCCTGTTCCTTTGGTCAAGACGATACTAGCCCATGTGGAGTTAAACTGGACTCTATTTCAGGCTGCTGAGAATCAGCAGAACCATGTCCACAAACCAATTCACCTTTTAAGTTGTCCTGACTAGGAGAGGAGAAGGTTATCACTGTCAGGCTTTGAGTTATTTGGATGTCAGAGGAGTTTAGCTGTGGTTCAAGCTGCTGTCAAGTTTGTTGGTGATGAAGCCAAGATTATATGTGCAGGGGGCTGGAGAGAGGAGGGTTGGGTTTTTTTCTCTTCTCTTAGTAGGAAATGTATTTTTTCTTTTCCAGCAGCGTCACTGGTTTTTCTTTGGCAGTATTACATTTTCTTAGGGAAAATGGAGGAAGAAAAGTCATTTCCTAGTCATTTTCAGCAGGGACCAGCTACCAGTCCTAAAGCACAGATTAGCCCTGTCCTCTTACACAGGCGTCTTCCCTTCCAAAATTTCTGCAGAAGGGGCTGAATTTGGTACTTTCTCCTACGGGACGTGGTACTGAGCCAAAGGGATTTTACGCTGGAGGCATCTTCAAAGCCGGCGCGTTGGAGCTGCAGCGGTTTGTGTAGCTTGGCAGCGAGCACCTCTGGAAAGTCCGTAGGCTCAGCTATAGCATTTCCTTCGGGACCGTGTGCACTTTTGCCTTTTCTGTTCTTCTGCGTTTTCTTATTTTCTTTCTTCTTTAGTCCAGCCCTGACCCCTTTAGCAGACAGCTTCAGAATCAGGTGTCCACAACTGGTGCCCATGCTCCCCTCAAACCACAGCAAAACATCAGTTTTGTTGTGGTTTTTAAAGGAGATATGAGCAAAACGAGTCCAGAGAAAGGTTTTATCCATGTGCGTTGTCAGATGTGTCGATTTGGGAACCTAGAAGGCTCCATTTCTGTCAGGGCCTGATGACCTGCCTGAAACACCTGCACGTTTCCCATTATGCTACTGTTTTCTCCCAGTCCTCATTCACAGAGACATTTTTCTCTCCTGCACTATTACTTCCTAAGAATGGCTAGTTAAAGGGTGTTTCACAGCATATTCATCTTTCAAGTGCCGTTCTTTCAAGCAGTGCCAAGACTGATAAACCACTAGATTTCAAACTTCTTATCGGAATAAGCCCACAGAGCTGAAATCTAAAATGAAACTCTTTGGACCCACAGTAAAGGACATCGCAATTGCAAAGTCATGACTACTGCTTGATATTTTCCCCTCTGAATCCTCTCTCCTGGTTAAAAAGCTTTCTATTAAAAAGCTAATAAACAAAATGGAGAGACAATAGTGGAAGACAGACTTTGGAGCTGGCTGGCAGGATAGAAAAACTTTGCAGTACTTTCTCAAAGTCACACTATTAAATATCACAAACTCAGATTTGTTTCCTATTTTAGTTCTGGAGTAAAATAATTTACATATTCAGAATTTGCTAGTGAAATAGAAGATTTAGAAACACTCACAGGAAGCAGAAACCTTAACAGGCTGTGGTTGTCTGTAATAATCATCCCTGCCGAACAATCTTCGGCTCACTGAAATAATTATTAAACTGTCTCTATCGTAAACTGTGAAATTTTAAGGAACCTGGTGGCAGTATGAAAAGTGTTTCTCCCAGCTGTGTTAAGTCTGCATTACCTGCCTGCCCGTGTATTGTACTGCCTGCAAGTGCTTTTCTGCGTCAGGGATAAACTCGCTGTATTCCAGCTGGGAATACATGATTACCTTTGCTTGTTATAAAGGTAATGGTCGTCGCTTCCCCGGCTGCAAAGCCGGAGGGAGCATTCACAGTGCAATGCACAGCTTGAGCCAAGCAAGAGGCAGCGGAGGGGGAGTTCTGGATTCAGCCCGTCCTTCTAAGGTGTGCTATGGGCCACCTCCACGCGGTTACTTAAAATGTCCTAGCTGTGTTCTCCTCTGCACGCTTTCTCCTAGGTCTCCTTTGCTGTTACAGGGATGCTGTGGGGTTGAACAAAAGCAGGGCATATCAGGTGGGATGTGATGTTTCACCTTGGTCAGCATTAGGGAGCCGGTGCAAACAACAGCTTTGCTCACTGCCCGAAGGACAGATTATTTTATCTGTGTCACGCTCCAGGGGAACACTGAGGCTCGAGAGCCAGGGTTTCTTCTGTTTCCTGTTTGGTTTTGGCATTTCTCTGGAGTTGCAACAAATCTCTGTCTGTGATTAAGAGAACGGGATTCTTTCCTGATTCGTCAGTAAAATCTGTATCATGTCGTTTGATACGAAGTAGGTTTTTGCTTCAGTAGCCACTTCTGCCTCCCAGCCAGCATTACCCAGCGTGTTTCCCCCATAGCAGCTGGGTCACTGAGCGCCCCGTCTGCAGCCACATTGCTCTATAGGAGTTTTGGGGTCTCTTCTTAATGTGACATGGCTCCAAAGCAGGGGCTGCTCACGTCCACAGGACAAGGGCTGCATTCAGCCTCACCCTATTTCCCCTGTGGACAGAGTAGCAACAGATGAGGCTCTAAAGATGTGCCTACATCACTGATTTACTGTGCTGGGTAAGAGCTATTTAAGTGTGAATTTTCCTTGTGTCTATACCTGCAATCTTGTGTTTTGTGCATAAGTGAACAAGTGATGTTCTCAAAGTGGTTTCCCTCCCGCTGGAAGTAAGGTTGAAGTCACAGGCTGAGATACCATGAGATACCAACATGGGTGCAAGGTCCTCCTGCAGAAAGCTCTCCGCACGTGCCCCGTGCATCCCTGGGGGCAGACTTCATTACTGTGGGGCATTACAGATTGCAGGAAGTCAAATCGTGGTCCTTGTTTCTTTGTCCTGTGCCTACCATGTTATAGCTGCCCCCGAGGATCTACCTGTGAGCCCTGACCTCACCCTGGGGCAGGTGTTGAGCTGCCTGGGTCGCGTGTGCTGCGGGAAGAGTTACTTTCCATGTTTGCAATGGAGAAATTGGCAACAACCTGTGTTTGGTCCCACAGACCACTTAGTTGGACCATGCTGCCAAAGGGATAAACAACGGATTAAGGCAACTAAAACTGTCTGCTTTACTGAAGGTTAGGCGGATGCAGCCTCACTTAGTGCTGCCAGCCATCAGCAGCCTCCACGATCCCACCAGTGGCAAATTCTCCTGTAGCTTATCTTCCTTCCTGCAATGGAGATGAGCGTCCTACCTCCAGTCCTACCTGGCTTCAAATGGTGGGGAGCAAACCTTAGCTCTTACACATAAGGACCTTTAAATAAGGTCCTGCTTTAACCTGATTTTCTGCCTGGGATGCAACACTGGATTCCT